GCGGGGGCGGGGCGCAGGGCGGTGGTCACGTGGCCAGGGCCGGCCCCGCCCGCCGGACGAGGGCCTTGGGGAGGGGAACGTTGCACGCGCTCTCGTGCCTAGGCTGCCGACTTGCAGGTAGGTTCCCGCCTCACGTGCCCTGCGCCGTGGGACTCCAACGTGCTCTGTCCCCGCCGTGCCCTCCCTGTTCCGGGAATCCCTTTTGTACCCCGATCCTCAACCGCTCCCTCCTCGTTCCGGTGACATCCCACCCCCGCCTTGGTCCCTAGTCTCCGCTGTTTCCTTCCTGTTTGGGGGAACCCCGTTGTCCTGGGATTCCCCCTTTTCCTCCATCCCGTTGAGCGTTCCCTGTTTCGGGGATTCCCCTCCACACCCCACACCCTCATCGCATCAGAGGCTGGGGCTACTCTCCCCGGGATTCCCCCGCTCGCTGGGCTGCAGTGTGGTGAGAGACCACAGACCTACACTTGGGTCCCCTGGAGCGGGAGAGGGGCCGAGGCTGGTTAAGACCCCTGGGGCAGGGGGTCGAGCTGGAGCCAGTGCCATCAAATCTTACGTGCCCACCTGCTGGTCACCTCTTAAAGAGACCAGCCCAGCGTGACCACCTCCACAGCCTCTCAAGGCCCTGCAGAGTCCAACAAAAGACTTCAAGTTGGTCTTTGTGGGCGTGGATTTTCTGTGGATGTGGGATGTCTGCCGCCTAGGAAAGCGAGTGGCCCTCTCTCTGCACCTACTCTCCCCGCTGTCATTCTCCATGCTGGTCAGAACCTAGATGCATCTTCACCCGTCTCCTGGGTACCACTCCTAGGCCACATCGTGCCCTAGTCTCTCTCTTAGGCCCCTGGCCCCCTTTCCCACACTCCAGAGCTCAGAATATTACCTGCTTGGTAGGTACTTTTCACATTGAGCCCCTTCCCCAGGACCCTGCCCCCCAGGAAACAGTGTTGGATTGACTGGCACCCCTCCAGACCCCAATATGTCTGGTCCCACAAAGGCATCCTCTGCCTCCCATAGACTTTTTTTCTTTAAGGTTTTTATTGTGGGTTGAGTGAAAGTTTACAGGGCACATCATCAGTTTCACATTCAACCTTTCATATGACTTGTTTCATTACATTGATTATAATCCCCTCCATATACCATCAGTTAACAGTATTTCTCTCTATCCTCTTTAGCTTTTTTTGTTTTTGTTTTTGTTTTTTGCTCCCATAGACTTTTGCTGACTGTGTAGCTGGTATTGGAAGTCCCACCTGACCCACCGCAAACGAGGCCCCACCACCCAGCTAGCTCCTCTGCCAGATCCTAGCCCTCCCCCCTCCCCTCAAGTGAGATCAGGTGGGCTCCTCTTCTGATAGGGACCAGAAACGGGTACAGGATGCAAAGGGGATGGGATTGGGAGGTGCAGACTGCTTCATCGAGTTAAGAGAGAATAACATCAGGGGCTTTGAGGAAACCAAGGCCTATTGAGTGGCCTGCCTTTGGACTGTGTTCACCCACACGTGGATTCCTTACAGTGTCCCTGGCTCCATCAGTTCTGGAAAGGTCATCAGAGGCTCCTATCCTAGTGCCCCTGCGACAGACCCTAGGTTCAAACCCTCATCTACCCAAATGCCCTCCCCTTCCTTCCTCTCTACCTGCCCAGTTTCTTGTCCGATGCCCTACTCACCACTCCCTCCCTCAGGGATTGGGGTGGGGTGGGGTGGGGGTGGATACAGCATTTGATGGCTACAGGCACAACTCACCAGCACCCCACAAGGTCTAAACTGCCTCTTAGGTGGCAGGCTGAGAACGATGGGAACTAGAGAGGGTGTGGATGTTGTCTCGGTGCTCACCAGAAATACCACAAGGGTGTCCTTTACAAACAGATATTTATTCTCATACTTTAGGAGGCTAGAAGACCATATTCAGAGACAAGATTTCTCTCAGGTGGTTCTGGAGAAAAGTCCTTGTTACTGTTCAGCATCTGTGGGCCCAGCATTCCTTGGAGATCTTCATGCATCTTGGCATTAGCCTTCCCTTGGATCCAGGAGCGTCAGAGTGCAGGGACCCCAGGGCCCTAGCACGCACTCCACTCCCGACTTCCACTTCTCGGTGGTAGTAGGACGCTCTCCTTGCTTGCTTGTTGAATTTCTTTCATATCTCAAAAGAGATCGTCTCAAAAGACAACTGTGGACTGCAGTTTCATTAACATTGGTTGGTTAGTTATGTACCATGGAGTCAGTTCCAACTCATAGTGACCTCGTATAGGGTTTCCGAAGCCGTAAATCTTTCCTGGAAGGAGCTCTGGTAGCGTAGTGGTTATGAATCAGGCTGCGACCCTTAAGGTCAGCAGTTCGAAACTAACAGCTGCTCCACGGGAGAAAGATGAGGCTTTCTGCTCCTGTAAAGATTTACAGCCTCGGAAACCCTGTTCAGGGTCGCTGTGGGTTGGAACCAACTCGATGGCACTTAACAACAAACTTTTCCGGGAGCAGAAATCCTCATCTTTCTCCCGCAGAACAGCTGGTAGTTTCGAACTGCTGACCTTGAGGTTAGCAGCCCAACTCATAACCACTACGCTACCAGAGCTCCTTCACTAACTTTATAAAAGTGAGAATTCACAACACAAAGGAGAATTACATCAGATCAGAACTGATCATTATTAGATCACATCTGCCACATTACATAACTGCCTAACAACTGAGAAACATGGGCCAGCCAAGTTGACACGTATTTTGGAGGGACAAAGTTCAATCCATGACATGCGTTAACAACACTGTTGCTGAAATACACTCAGGAGGCAGCTGAAAGCATCACCTAAGGGCAGTCTGACCCTAGTGGGTCAGACCCACCCAGAACATAGAGCAGAAAGAAGAGTGGGTCCTGGGACACCAATCAGGAATTAGAATACTGGAACAGATAGTGGGCAGAACTTTGATGATGTTTTCTTCCACCAAGTGGAAGGAGGAATCAAGGTGTTTCCGACTCACAAGGTTTTAGTGTACTTGAGGATCTGCTCCAGCAAAGCAAGGGAGTAAGTAAATGAAGAGGTGGGCGAAATGGGTGCCACTGTGGGAAGGTGAAGGGAAGAACTCAAGGTTGGTGGATGAGCGATGAAGGAGCGGGCTCCAGAGAGTGGGGCTGGCAGGCTACCACAGGGATTTAGCAGTTTGGGAGAGTTGCAAGGCTGTTCAGAGAGTGGGGAGAATGGAGCAGAGAAAAATGATTTAAAAAGGAGTCCGTTCTGCAACAGATGGATTTACAAGCAAAAATTAAAAAGGGGACAGGACACCCAGAAGCCTAGGTTCAGCCAAACAATGGGGTACCAGATGTTTGAGGGTTCCAGGATTGGTCCATAAGGGCACTGCCATGATGTATTTTAAGTCATTTTAACTGCCCCCCACCACATGCTGTGGAGCGGACCCCACCTGTCAGAACGGACCGCTGCTGCACAGGGTTCTCCTTGGCTGGTTTTGATGGAAGCCAATCACCAGGGCTTTCGTCCAAGGTGCCTGTTGTTGGCCAGCCATCCTGTTTTCTGCCTCCATCACATGGCCACTATTCCCTCCTATGAAGAGGGAATTTCCAAATTTCCCTCCTATGAGGACAGCAATTAATGTGTAGTTAGTACCACCCTAGTGGGTCAGACCCACCCAGTAGCTAACCAGGGAGAAAGACCTAACAGTTTGGTGGTGGTGGTTTTGTGCCGTGGTGTCATTTGCAACTCAGCAACCCTCTATGGGTTTCAAAAGTTTTTACGGGAGTAGGAAATTGCATATTTTTCCCATGCAGCAGCTGGTAGATTTGAACTGCTGACCTTGTGGTTTGCAGCTCAGCTCATAACCCATTGTTGTTAAGTGCCGTCGAGTCGGTTCTGACCCACAGCAACCCTGTACAGGGTTTCCGAGGCTGTAAATCTTTATGGGAACAGAAAACCTCATCTTTCTCCCATGGAGCAGCTGGTAGTTTTGAACCGCAGACCTTGCGGTTTGCAGCCCAATTCGTAACCACTAGTCTACCAGAGCTCAATTAACATTCCAGTGTGATCTCATTGTAATTGGAGTCCGCAAAGACTCTTAAGGGCACAGGGGTCGGACCTTTAAATTGTCTTTTTGGGGACACAGTCACAACCCAACCCCAATTCTGATGATCAAAAATGGCAGCAGACATTTCGATGCTCTGTGGCTATGAACCACTCGTGGCCTACTGATGACGCTCAGGGTTGGCACATTTGAAAACTTCATAAATAAAGATTGTGTTAAAATAGCCTTTGAGACAAGAGTCATTTGGAAATGTGTGTGGATGCAATTAGCTTCAGAGTCATCCAGGGTGGGTGTCTGGGGTTGAGCACCCAAGAGCCTGCTGTCTTCTCTGTACTGTCGTTAGATGCCGACAAGTTGATTTCGACTCATTGTATACAGAATTTGAGGGGTGGCTGAATTTGAACCACCGACCTTAAGTTACTAATCCAGTGCTTACCCTACACCACATCAGGAGTCATTATGCATAGATGTGAAACCTAAGCAAGGTGATTATCAATGGGGGAAAACACAAATGTCTGGGCCAGGAATCCCAGATGAAGCTCCCTAGGACCAGGGACTAAACCCTTCCAGGTAGGGTAGAACCAACCAGGCCAAACCATTTACTATCAAGTGAACTCGGACCCATGCTGACCAAGTGGCACAGCGTAGACCTGTGGGCCAGGGTGGAGTGGATGTCTAAATGCTCATTCTAAATGTCTAAATGCTTATGGAAAAGTTGCTATTTCAGGAAAACACCGCATACATGCCCTTACAAATGTGGGGAGAGAACCCCCCCCACCACTACTGAGGATGGGACAGCAGGATGTGAGTGGGGTAGGCTGGGCCTGTGTCCTTCCTGAGATATGTGCCTTTGACTCCACACCCTACATGGGGTTTCTGAGGAGCAGCTGGTGAGTTTGAACTGCCAACCTTTTGGTCCAGTGCACTATCCTGCAGCACCACACAGGACTCCGTATTAGGGAGTCAGTTTTGACTCCTCGCCAAGCCAGTGTGGGGTTTCCAAGACTGGAAGTCTTTATGCACCGGTGAATTCAAACTGCGTGCAAATCCACTACACTACCAAGGGTTTTAATAAATCATCATCAGTTATTTAGGAAAACACTTCCTATGTGTTGGGGAAAGCCGCAGCAAAGCCCTGCGGTTCACGTGGGTGTGAGGCCAGCTCCAGATCTCTGGATGCCTGGCAGGTCGGGCTGAGGCCCAGTGAGCAGGACGATGCTGTGACCAAGGCCCCCCGCCATTCCTCATGACTCAGCTCTTGGGTCCAGCACCACCTCTACCCACTGAGGTGTGGGACCCAGGAGGCCAGGGTTACTGTGGCTGGCGGTGTGAGGCCAGCTTGAGGCAAGTTCTTGTTTTCCTGAAGGTACTGAGATGTGAAGGTCTGATCCAGCCCTGTGCTGTACGGTCACTCAGTGGTGTGGGGCGCAGGCTTCGACTCACCACCCACCCAGCCTGCTGCTGCTGACTTTGGTGGCCAAGGCTGAGGGGCCATCACAAAGACCCTGGGGGCAGGGGCCACAAGTCTCCACCAGGCTCAGCACTTCCCCTCAGGAAGGAACCGCCAATTCTAGGAATACAGGGCTGATTGCAGAGCGGATGGCTGAAAATGAAATCAACAAAGATCCACACCCTCCCACCTGAGAGCCAGGAAGGGGCAGCCCTGCTTCCCACCGGGGACCCTCAGAAACAAGGCTCCAATCACACCACCCAGATGGCTTTATTCCCTGGCCAGCCATAGCTGCCCGACCGTCCACAGGACCTCGGACTTAGAGGACAGTGGTCAGCAGGGCCCAGCCAGTATCCTAGAGCCACATCTGGGAAAGCGGGGATGGAGGTGGGGTAGGGGGCCCAAGATCAGTCCACAAGTGGCCCATGGGGCTTCTGCAGGGGCACACAGCCCGATTCCAAAGCTGGGTCTGGGAGAATGTGCCAGGTGGCTCTGCCCATTGCACACTGACCAGTAAGGAGATACCACCACTGTCCAGGCAGTTGAGAGCCAGAGCACGGGTCAGGCTGTTCTGCCCGCCCCTCCCCTCAATGTCCCCCGCCCCAAGGAGGAAACAGGGAGAGGGGGGCAGACAGAAGCTAGACCAGGGGGTGGGGGTGGGGGGTATCGGGCTATCCTTGGCTCCATGTCCAGGAAGGGTCAGGGAGTTTCTGTGGCTGTCAGCCGTACTGGACAGTGAGCTGGGCATATGTACCCTGAGGGATGGCTCTGGCTTGTCTCTGGCCATGGCAGACCGCTCTCGCCAAGGAACGGACTCCGTCCATCTGTCTAGTACCGGCACAGAGATGCTGGTGAAGGGCCGTGCTCAACTGAGGTTTCAGGCCCGTTGTGAGCATTCAGGGGCCTCACCGTGGAGTGGCCCCTCATAGCACGCTCATCCTGCCAGGCCAGGCTCCAGCAGCAGACACCTGACTGAAGGTGCCTTCCAAGTCCTGTCCCTAGTACCAGGCATGTCCGAGTGACCACAGCTCTCCAGCCCTTGGGGGGGCGCAGACGTCTCTCCAGCCGTGGAGATGCGGCACCAGAGCACCTCACGGACCACCCCAGCTCTGCGCATGGGTGAGACAGATGCTAAGGGGCCCCTCTGTAGACACTCCGGCTGGTTTCCGAGTCCAGGGTGGGGGGCCACGGGCCTCAAAGAGGGGCAGTAAGCAGGTGCTTACCCTCCTGGGCCTGGTCGTGGTGGCTGAGGGCTGAATCTGCAGACAGCCCCCGGGATGTGGGGTGCTAATCTCGGACAGAACCCCTGAAAACAACAGAAGTGACATGGTAACAGATGGGAACTTGGAGAGGGCACCCCAAATCCTGTCCCCTCCAATCAACACAGCCCAGGCAACTTCTGGGAGCTGCCATCCCCCCTAAGGCCTGGCTCCCTAGCCCACACCTGCTCTAGCACTGGCTCTAGGCATGCTCCAACTCCGGGTCCGCATCCGCCTCCTCGTCGTCCTCCTCCTCGTCTTCCTCGTCCTCCTCGACTCCGGCCTTGTCCAGCGGTGCCTCGCCATCCCGAGCCAGCTCCTCCACGTGGGCCAGCATGTCGGCCATCAGCGCCTCCTCCAGCCGTTTGCGCACCTGCTGCACCAGCTCCTCCTGCTTCCTGAAGGCGCGGACACAGGTGTGCACGTGGGTAGAGGTGAGAGCCAGCAGCTCAGCACAGAAGAGAGCCAGGGCCCCCGGGGTGGCCAGGGTGCCGACAAACCACCCAGACTCAGATACGTATGCAGTGAGTCACCACACAGAAACATGCGGAAGAAGGGGTGCTCGTTCACAGACAGGGTCTCAACACAACAGGACCAACTGTGAGGGACAGCTGGGCGCTGTCGGAAAGGACGCGGGGGCTGACCACTAAGGGGTCACACAGGCCCAGGAGCCTGTCCCCAGAGGAAACCCTCAGATGGCTACATACCACCTGCTGCTCTGAACCCACTGCTACTTGGCTTCTACTGCTGCTGTGAAACCCGTGCCCCCCGTGTACCCAGTTCCTGGGGGAACCACCTGCCTTCCGGCTCTGCCAGCTTTTAGGATGCCATCTCTGTGTTCCGCACACTCACTGCCATGTGAACCCAGGACTCAAGCCTCTTCCCAACATGGGAAATGATCAGCCTGTATCTCCCACCAGCCCTGCCATCGGTCCCCCACTGAGAGGGTGGGCTTTACAACGCTTCTGCCCACTCTGCCCATTAGTAGCCATGGCCCTGACACCTGAAGAAATGGCGTCCACCACATGTCCCACCAATAGGCCTGCGCCCGTAACACAGCTGGGCACACCACGGAAGTCCCCGTGCCGGCTCTCCACAGCCCAGACCTGCGCACTGCAGCGTCAGCAACAGCAGAACAAGCCTTGGGGCAACAGGAGACTCTGCACGTGCTGGGGGCAGGGGGTCCCGGGGTCTTACCTGATGTCCTCGTCAGTCACCATGAAAGCTTTGCAGAGGGGCTGGGTTGTGTTGAGCCACACACCTGGGTTCTTCTCCACAGCGGCTGAAAGCTGCCCAGTGATGGGCATCGTGCTGGTATGCAGAGCACTGGCTATGGCGGACAGCAGGGTCTCGTCGGTGCAGCCGGGCCCCACGCCTGCCAGAAAACACAGCCCAGTTGAGTGTCAACTCACTGTGAGCTCCCGAGGGGATGTGGGCAGGCAGGAGGCGGGCCTGAGAGGAGACTTCAGTCCTCAACATTCTCAAGTGTCCAGAGACTCAGAACAGGAAGGAGTAAATTCAAACAGCACCCCCGTAGGCCATTTGGCTGAGACCCCATCAGACTGGCTGCACACCAACTCTAGGGCCTCGGCTGTGTGCCTCAATTTCCCCACCTCACAGGGCCTGCAGGACGACTCAGGGTAACACCCACACTGAGACCCAGTGCCTAGCCCTGCCCGGCCAGGCAACCTGCTCACCTTGCAGGCCCTTGGGAAGGTCCATGGTCTTCACCAGCTCCTCAGCAATGTCAAAGGCATTCAGGCCACTCAGCTTCTTCTCCCAGAAAAGCTGCCACCAAATAGGCCCGTGGTGAGTGTGGACAGGGCCACTTACAGCTGTAACAGGATAGGTGGACAGAGGCCCCCACCTCGGGGAGGCCGCTGCCTGGGCCACACCTGGATTTAGACTCCTGGCCTACAGAGCCGAGTGAGTCTATGGTTCTAAGCTGCCAAGTCGTGTTTACACGGGCCCCAGACATTGACACCCCTATGTAAGCAGGTGACGTGACCTCTGACCTCTGCCTTGTTAAGCAGTGAGGACTGGCGGCCACTGTGGAAGAGGCCAGGATTCCAGCAAGTTCTCTGCACGGCAGCAGTCCGCCCAAGGCTGAGTGCGCTCAGGGGAGAGCACCTCCCAGGGAGCTCCCCGGAGAGCCACACCCTGGTCTAGTCACCACTCCTGGGGCCAACAGGCCGGTGGTAGGAAACAACAGACTGCAGGCTCTCACACGTCTGGGGCACGCCAGCTGTCCACTGGGGAAAACCTGCTGTGATGCCGGTCTGGTCCTGTGGGCTCCTAGGAACTATCTCCCCTATTTGTGCAGGTTTACCCCTGGGCCTAAAGAGCTCTTTTCCTCTGAAATCCACTAGGCTCAGTGCCGTCTCCACTGACAGGCCCCTTTAACATTAACCTGACAGACAAGAGTCAGTTTCCAGAGGGGAGCACAGCCACAAGTATGCAACCCATCAGCATCAGCCAAGTTCCTGAGAGGGAAACCATGGAGCGCTTTCAAAAGGCTGCTTATAAAGCATATGCAACACATCTCCATGCAAAACGCAAACGTGCAGCCGAGATGCTAAGGGCCTGGTGCAGAGCAGTGGTGGGCCAGACCAGAGCCCCGTCCTCCCCACCCCCCACCGTCTTCAGATAAGAAACGTGTGGTGCGAGCTGAAGGGCACCCCCAGTCCGAGCCCCAGACATTGCTTTCCACCAAGAGCTCTGGGAGGGTGGAGCCCAAGGTCAGGGCGGCTCACCTGCCGGGGTTGGTCCACGGCCTTCTGGGGGTCGCTCTTCACTTTGTTGCTGGGGTGGTTAGTGATCTTGGTCACAGGCTGTTTGAAAATGGACGCTGTCTGCCGCACGGGGAGCGCTGTGTTCAGGTCAGGCTTACCCTGTGGGGACAGCAACCTAGTGGGACTCAACCACCCAGGGCTCCCCCCAACACACAATGGCCCAGCTCAGGGTCCTCATCAGCACTGCAGGCTGACACTGAGGACAGTGGGCCAATCCACCTGGGCACACGCCATGCCGCTGCTCACTCTGGCTGCGGCTGTCACCAGGATCAACACCCTGACAGAAGGTACCCGGAGAGCACGCCCCACTGTGATGCTGCTTCCAGGAGCCTGGGGAAGTACCCTGACCTTGACCTGGCTGGAGGAGTCATAGCGCATCCGCTGACGGCTCTTGTTGACCTTGCTCATCAGCATCCGGCCCGTCCGGAAGTCGAAGGTGCTCAGGTCCATGGAGCCGCCCAGGTAGCGAGCCAGCTGGGGCTTGCTCCGGAACTTCTTCCCGCTAGGGCTGCAGACGGGGAGAACGGAGGGTCAGTGCCTAGCCCACAGCACCAGCCTTACCTTCGGCCCACCCTGACTGTTCCCAGATTCCAGGGTCAGGCGCCCAGCAGACACAGATGCTGAGTGAGGGGTGCGCACTCACCATCCTGGCTGCTCCGGAACATTCCAGAAGAGCAGCAGGCATGTGAGCTGGCTTGAATCCCTGCCCCCACCGAGCACCGCGTCACCACAGTGGAACTGTAATGTGACGCTGCCACTTGGGAAAGCAGTTACCTGGTGACCAGCGATTGTGGTCCTAGGTGCCCACAGGAGATTGGAATGCACACATCCACACAAAACCCCACAAACACAGCAGCCCAAGCATCCAGGCACAGATGAAAATGAAAGGCCTTGTGCTCGATCCACACAATGGGATACTGGTTGGTGATGTGCTGTGGAGTCGATTCCGACCCATAGCGACCCTGTATAGGGTTTCCGAGGCTGTAAAGCTTTACGGGAGCAGAAAGCCTCATCTTTCTCCCGCGGAACAGCTGATAGTTTCGAACTGCTGACCTTGAGGTTAGCAGCCTGATTCATAACAGGATGAGTCTGATGCATGCCATCCGACCTGGTGGAACCTGAAATACTTGGGTGTTCAGTGAGCAAAGCCAGCCGCGAATGGCCATGCAGTGTCTGATCACACTTGTATTCCACAGGGGCAGAAAGAGATTAGTGGTTGACAGGGTCTGGGAGTTGGGAGGAAGGCAAAGACAGCTAATGGGTACGGGTTTCCCGCTGGGCTGAGGAAAGTGTTCTAAAATCGGCTGTGGTGAGGGTTGCGTAATCCCGGTCACATCTCCGTCTGACAAACCACGTAAGTCATACAGACGTGAATCACAGCATGCTTACAATGTATAACAAACAGAAGCAGCATGTGCTGTGCTCACAGGTGGAGCACCTTGCTAAGCATGGGACTCCACAAACTGCCATCTAACCGACAGGGTCCCACCTATAGGTGGCTCTCGGACAGCACCCCACCTCACTTAGACACAACTCACTGGTCCAAGGAGTGGGCTCAAGGGTAGACAGTTCATGACAACTTTGGGGAGACCACCCAGGAGGCCATCTGTTTTAGAAAGCTGGCTGCCATTAAACTGGAGTCCATGTTCCCAGGGCAACAGGAAGAAGCCCAAGGCCCCAACTCAGACTTTCAACATCACCCGGGAGGGGGGTGGGGGCGGTCCCCCAGGAACCACAGACTGTTCTGCAGTCTCACACCACCCCCACTCCACTCCTGCTCTGCTTTGAAAGTGAACACATGGCAGAAGGTGGATGAGCAAATGCTGGGGCCAGGGCGGGGAGCGCTCTGAGCATATTCTGGAATTAGACGATGGTAGCTAAGCAATTCTATGGAGATACTCGAATTGGCCTTTCCCTGAATGAGAACACTTAGGACACCGCACATCTATCTCTCCCGGCTGCATGTGACAGGGACACTAGTTGGCGAGGAGCCTAGAACCAAGGAGAGCTGCTGGACACCCTCCTGCACCTGAGTCCCTTCTCTGAAGCTTTCCAGAGCTCCCATCCTCCTGCCAGGCCCTGTGTTGGGAGCTGGGAGTAGGAGACTCCCAGGCACCATTTTAACCTGCAAGTGGCCAGCCTCCCAAGGCTTTTGCCTGAACTTCCTGCTCTATCCACCCAGGCTCAGCTCTGAGGAGTCCCCTTATCTTCCCTCACACCTCTGAACTCCAGCATGGGTCACCTCCATGTCTACAGGTGTCATGGGGTGGCCGCTGGCTGTCACCTAGGAGGAGCAGCCCCACCTCACCATCTAGGCAGTGCTGGGTAACACGAGGGGGCTCAGCCATGCCCACACAACTCTTCATAGACAGGGGCATCCTTCAAGGCTGCTTAGAATTAACACAGCCTGCTGGGCAGCCCAGCAGGGCACAACCATGCACCAACTCCAGTGGGTGGCAGCCCCGGGGACCCAACGCCTCAGTGTGTGAAACCTGGGCTCTGCTCACTTGTGGGTCCCTTCCCTGGGTTTTCTGCTCTCCCAAAATGAGGACAAAGCCCTGCAGCATACCAGAAAGCCAATAGTTCAGACCAGCCTCACTCAGCTAGGGGGGCCGTTATGGAGGACGGGTGTGTTTGCTGTGGAGATGGAAAGCGACCCTGAGGGTGCCCCCTGGAGACGACCCCGGAGAAGAGAAGGAAGGGAGAGGGAGCAACAAAGTCAAAGTATCTTCCACCAGCCAAGACAGGAGAAAGGAGAACGGGGACTGGCAGCAGGTGGTTGGCCTGCCGGCTGGGTTGCCAACAGGCTCTGGAGTCCTTTGTTCCCCAGAAAAGATTCGCTGCCTGTGTCAGTGTAGAGCAGGGGCGCTTCGAACCCCCAATAACATAAATGAGAAAGCTGTGTCAAAAGACTGTGTAACCTGGTGGGATCCCGCTCCACACGGGTTTTAAATCTTCCAGCATGGACCCAGGACTGTTCAAAACCAGGAGCGCGGGCGGGCCAGACAGACGAAGGGCACACGGATCTGCATATGGACACGCCTTTTTGCCCTCCCCCCATCCCCAATGACATCTGCGACCCGAAAGCCTGCCTCGGGCCATGCGCGCCTCCAGGGCCCCCAGGCGTCCCACTGGAAACCAGGGAGTCCAGCCCCCACCCCCGCCTCCCAGCAGCCTCTGACCACCGCCGGGTGCCCCTCGCCCCGCGGCCCGGCTCGGGAAACAAAGACCGCTGGCGCCCACCCGGAGCCGGTCCGTGCGCCATGCGGCCACCGCGCGGGAGGCGCACGCACGCGCACTGGGCCGTGGCACTCCGGCACGCACGCGCGCTGGGCCGCGGGGCCGCCACTCGCCGGCCGGGCACGCACGCACGCATGCACGCACGCACGTTGGGCCAGGCCGCGGCCCGGGGTCGGAGCGCCCCAGGCCGCGCGGAGGCCGCTGGGAGGCGCCCGTTGGGGCCCTGCCCGCGGCGCGGCCGGCGCGCTCATTCACCTATAGTAAAAGACATCCCTGTGGCCGGCCGACAGCCCCGACCTTCTGGGCACTTCTTCCCTCTCCCAGCCCTGCGGGAGCGCCGGGCACTCCCACCTCTTCCGCTCCATTGCGCCCGGCTCCTCGCCCGCCGCCGCCGGGACCCCGCTCCTCGCCGCGCCGCCTCTGCCGCCTCTTCAAGCGCCGCCGCCACCACTCGCTGCGGCTGTTCCGGCCCTCGGGCCCTCGCCCTCCGCCCCCAGCCGGGCGCGCGCCGGCTTTGCCGCCCTCTCGGCCCCCTCCCCGCGCTCGCAGCCCCCCCGCTCGGGGGGCCCGCTCCGCCCACCCGCCCGCGCGGGACCCCGCAGTGCGCAGCCGCCGCGCCAGACCCCGCCCCTTGGCGCTTGAGCGCGCGCCGCGGCGGTCGCACCAATCAGCGCACGGGATAGGCGTGGTCAGATAGGCTCTCCAGCGCTCGCGGCCCCTGAGCCAATCAGCGCGTGGGGGGGCGTACCCCTGGGTTGCCGACCCACCTCCTGGTGGCCCAGTGAGCTCCGCCGTGACCAAACCAAGGAGATCACGGAAGGGGCGTAGCACAGGCCTGTCAAGCCCACCTTCTGATGGCCAAGCGTGCGCCAAAGCATACACGTCAATCAGTGTGGTTACTCGGTTAGTCCACGCGCCTATAGGCATCAGAGCTCGTGCCTCTGTGACACAGCCAATCAGCACCTGATAGGGGCGTGGCTGTAGGCTGTCGAATCCGGCCCCCAAAGTCCGAGTGGTCGCCTTGGTGGCCAAAAGAATCCGCGCGCGTGGCGGGGGCGTGGCTTCCGGAGGCGTGGTGCCGCGTCCCCGTCCTGAGCCTGTCTGCGCTTGCGCCTTGGGCCTTCGCTTGCAGCTTCCACCCTTGTGGAGATCTGGTTGTAGTAGTGGTGGTGGTGGTGGTGTACCGCTGAGCGAATCCTAGCCACCCTGTATACGCTTTCTGCGACTGTAAGTCTTTACGGGGCCAGAAAACCGTATCTTTCACCCACTTTCATCCACGGAGCTGCTGGTGGATTCGAATTGTTGACCTTGAAGTTAGCAGCAGTTTGCCACTAGAGCTTTAAATGACAATCTTTGGGTGCAGTTTGCAAACGCAGAGCGTGGGGTTCAGCGAAAAGCGGAGAGCGGGAGAGACCCTAGAGGTCTCGTTCTGGATTGAAACTTTTACATGCTATTGGACCGATTTGAACAAGCCAAGTGTGAGGTTTTTCTGACATCTGGGGAAATGTGAATAGTGACTGAGTACTTAGGGGAGGTATTTTTCGTTTTCTTTGGTGGAAGAGTGGCTATGTTTAAAAGCGTTTCATGTTTGAACCCAAGTCCAGTCAGTTGCAAAAGGACAAATAACTATATGACCTCAATTATATGAAATAAGCGCATATACAGAAACCAAAGATTATCAGTGGTTACCAAAGGTGGGAGGGGAGGGAAAGAGGGAGCTTTTGTTGGAGGGAATGTTGGTTTTATTTGAACGGTGATAGAATGTTTAGATGAGGACAGCTTAGATGAGGACAGCGAATGTGGTGGCTCGGAGTGAAATTTGTAACTCACGTTCTGGGGTTGTAACTATGGAAGTTGTGTTGATGGGGGTTTTGGTATGTATGTTTTAGGAAGCCAGGCTGGGACTAAGAGGAGCAGGACACCAGCCTGGGCACAACCTGTAAGAAAGTCTTAATAAACAAGATGAATCCAGAAGAGTTATGATGAACAAAACGTCTATGTTTTAAATCCAAACAGAATCAGTAACTACCACACTGAGCAGACCACATTGGTGGCCAGGTCAAAGGAGAAGCAGGTGCCCCTGTATGCATGTGTGAAAACGTCTGGTGGAGGTGTGTGACCTCTAACCTGATGACGAGGAGAATGAATTCTCATCTGCAGAATCAGCCCAAGGCTGAGTCCAGAGGCAGAGGTCAGACATGCCTCCTCCTCACAACCTTTTTACCAATTCTGATACCAACTCTGCTTCTCTGCTGGGTTTGACCATTCTGTGATGACCACACAAAACTCAGACATGATTATGGGGCTTGTTAGATAAGTTGTTAAGTGCTGTGAAGTCGGTTCTGACTCATAGCGACCCTACGTACAACAGAACAAAACACGGTCCAGTCCTGCCCCTACCTCACAACTGCTGCTAGGCTGGTGCTAATCCACCTCACTGGGAAGCTCCCTCGTTTTCTGTGACCCTCCACTTTGCCAAGCATGATGTGGTAGTGGTGTGCCGTGGAGTCGTTTCCGACTCATAGCAACCCTGCATAGGGTTTCCGAGGCTGCAAATCTTTACGGGAGCAGAAAGCCTCATTCTCCCACGTGATGCAATAGGTTATAAATTCAGAATCAGAAATAACACAGGATACAGTTTTTCCGGACAGGATAGTTTCTTCTCAGACAAGTCCATAGGCAGGCAGGCCTCTCTGGCCAGTCCTGCATCTATCCTGTTTGGGCAAGTGTTACAAAGCTCTTTACCTCTGGGCATTAAGCATCCAGGCCACTCCACCCCCAACAACAAGCCTCCTGCCCAGTAGGGATCTGCTTTCTCAAGACGAGAGAGTGCAGTGCAATGGATTGCTTTTATATGATGTTTCTAGCCAGGTCTTGTTAGGCCCCCCATATAACTGGGTTGTTATTGTTAAGTGCAGTCAAGGCCGTTCCTACTCATAGCGACCTTATGCACAACAGAACGTTGTCCTCCTCCAATCTCACAATCTTGAGCCCATTGCTGCTGCCACTCTGCCAATCCATCTCGTTGGGGGTCTCCCTCTCTTTACTGGACCAGAATATTGAAAGTGCCATGGGATGCCGAAAGAAAGAACCAATAGATCCGTTTTGGAAGAAGTGCAGCCAGCGTGCTCCTTGGAGGCCAAGATGGCTAAGCTTCGTCTCTCATACTTTGGACATATTGTCAGGAGGAACCAGTCGCTGGAGAAGGATATCATGTTTGGTAAGATGGAGGGTCAGAGAAAAAGAGGAAGACCCCAGTGAGATGGATTGGTCAAGTGGCAGCATCGATGGACTCAAGTGTGGCAGCAGTAGTGAGGTTGGCCCAGGATCGGGCAGTGTTTCGTTCTGCTGTGCATAAGGTTGGTATGAGTTGGTACCGACTCGAAGGCACCTAACAACAACAACCACTTAACCAAGCATGATGTCCTTCTCCAGCGACTGGACTCTCCTGGTAGTATCCAAAGTATGATCAACACAGTCTGGTCATCTTGGCTTCTAAAGAACATTCTGGTTGAACTTCTTCCAACACAGATCTGTTTGGTCTTCTGGCAGTCCATGGTATGTTTCATAGTGTCCTCCAACACCGTAACCCCAAGGCATCAATTCTTCTCCAGTCTTCCTTATTCACTGTCCAGCTCTCACTTGCATATGAGACTATTGAAAATACCACAGCTTAGGTCAGTTGCACCTTAGTCCTCAAACTGAGGACTATGCAGATCAGGTGATTGTGGTCCACCAAGGGGATGGGATATCTGGCTAATGCAAATAAGGTACATGGCACCCCTGTGGGGACTGTTGTTCAGTACCATAGAATCACTTCTGACTCATATCACGTTGTATAGGGTTTCTAAGGAGCAGCTGGTGGGTTTGAACTGCCAACCTTGTGGTTCACAATCCAGTGCTTGTCCTACAGTGCCTCACTCTGTAGGTTGGGACTACACAAGGTGTATGGAGCCCCAATAAGGGGCTTGGTGAGTCTTGCCCTCCCACTGAACTTGAAAGAGCCCTGTGGACCCAGGACCCTTGCACTGAGAACCTTCCTAGCCCAGGATACAGAGAGCTAGAAACTGGAGATGGTGAGAAAGGGTGAGGAGGAGGGGCAGGGATACAGGCAGCAGAACCAGGAGACCAGCAGATGGCCAAGTGGCTCCCAAACCATGGAGCCAAGAGCTTGGGGCCTTACCAGCTGCTCCAAGGAGAAGATGTGACCGTCTGCCCCTGTAAGGACCGGCAGCCTCAGAAACCCTATGGCGTTCATCTACTTGGTCCCATGGCTTCACAGTGAGTTGGAATTGAATCAATGGCAATGCGTTTTTACTTCCTTCGTGAACCCATGATTGTGAGCACCGTCTGTGAGTTCCGTGTGACCCTTGCAATGAAGTCTCAAACCCAGCCAAGCAGTAGAGAGCAGTGGGAGGGCCAGCTGGCATCAGAATTGGTAAAAAGGTTGGAAGGTGCTGGCAAGTCTGACTTCTGTCTCATAGGAACCAACCTTGGGCTGTTAATGCTGATAATGATTCTCTCTTCCCTTGCAGAAGTTAGAGGTCAGGCACCGATCACTACCAACAAATGCCTAGAGACACCCCGAGCTGCCAGCAAGCTTCCTCCCAAAGGCGCTCAGCTTTATCACTCGGGCCGGGAAGTCCACTGCACCATCTTGTGAACACCTCCTGGTTCTATGGCCATTTCTCCTGATGTTTCTGGTTGTCTTGCCATCGCCGGTATTTCAGCCGTCTCCTGGATCTAGATGGTTCTCAGCAGAGGGACCCCAGGTCCACCCCTGCTGCTTCTTGTTGGTAATGAGATCTCTCTTTCTGTCTCTGGGATGGTTCATTTTAATCCTGGTGGACGGACGGTAAGGGTTACACACACCGTATTTGCATGACATCAGCCAAGTTGGAGTTCTGGTACGGCGCTATAGGATAAGCACTGGACTGCTAACCACAAATTTGGCAGTTCAAACCTACCGGCCACTCCTCTGAAACCCTATACAGGGTCACTATGAGTCAGAACTGACTTTAGGCCACTTTATAATGACATCCCCACAGCATTATTAACAAGTTGTCCAGCACCCGTGGTAGACCATAAACATCTGATCTGCAAGTCGTGGTTAGGTGCTATCGGGTCCGTTCCACGGCAACCTTGTGTACAACAGAACTCTGATAGGTCCTTTGCCACCTTCACAGTCATTGTTACGCTTGAAGCCCACTGCTGCTGCCACTGTGTGCCAATCCATCTCATTGGGGGTCTTCCTCTTTTTCACTGACCCTCCACTTTACTCAGCATGATGTCCTTCTCCAGGGACTGGTCCCTCCTGATAACATGTCTGAAATGTGAGACTCGACCTCTGGCCCTCCTGGCCTCC